AATTTTGTCACTGTTTTGGAGCACACTGCCTTATAGATAACCTTAAGACTAACATATTGATACTAACACCCAAAAAACTTTAATTTTGATTTCATGGGGACTTTAAGCTTGTTAGCCCCCTGTGTGTATATATAGCCTTAGTTTTTCTTTAGTTCCTTGTGAGTTGCCGAATGTAATGGTTGTCTCTTTGCCAGTCATTCTGTTCTTTGTTCCCTTTGGTTTTTGGCTTATTGTTTGTTCTAGTTTTTCCATTAAATGCCTGCACATAAATCCTTGCCTCTATCATTTTCCCCAACTTCTCCACAACATTACAGTTTTTCACTGGCATGTCTCTTTGACTAGTGCATTTTTGAGCCTATATTTAGTATAAGTAAAATACTTAAGACCTGTTAAAATCAGATACTCTTAAGACTTTTACTCAAGTTGTTTTGGAATTGGTGACTTGTAACGTGTAGTGGAGTAATTTTCACTGTAAGGTATCTGTACTTTTACTCAAGTATGGTTTTTAGGTACTCTTTACACCTCTGACTTTGACCCATTCACACGTAAACTGATCTAATTTGACCAAGATTTTATTTTTAGTTTATGATCTAAATCACCTTTTGGCCCTGTGAAGAGAGGCCTGTGTCTCCACCGATTCTTCCAAGCAGGTTGAGCTCACTTTCTCCGTGGCGGCTCAGATAAATGGATCGCGGTGTGACGTGGATGTTCATGAGGTAATACACTATACGACTCTGAATGTGATCCTGGACGCAGTTGACGAGGTACCTGGATCCCACGTTAAAGATCTTAATGAAGGAGAGGTGTCTATGAAACAAATGGAGAGGCAGAGCAGAGGAAGTAAAGATGTTAAGTTCATAATAGTTGGAAATGATGCACATAACATCTTAATACATTTGAAACATCAGCAGCAGTGTACCTGTCCTTTTCCTCATCCAGGGGGACATAGGACATGTTATAACAATCAATACGCTTCAGAAAGTCCACCAGTGCTTCCTCTTTGTCGTAGTTTTCATAATCCGGGCTGCTCAGTTTTACTTGCTGTCAAAAAAGGAAATAATAATAAAAGCTCTCTCATCCTAAAACATTTTTAATAGTCTAACATTATTAATAGTTTAATAACATACAATGTTACCATTATATTTGCCTCAATGATTTCTGGGTCGTCACAAAACGACTCAATGAAAAACACCTGCACATAAAAAATATTTTGTGAAAGGTTGGTTGCTAAACCATCATTTACAAAATATCACATCATTTTATAAAATATTAAATGACACTGTTTTCAAAATGATGTAGTCTTTCTATTAACAAACTACTTTCCAAAGCATCACAAAACGCTATATTGCTGTTATTGTTACCCTGCAGCCAAGCATGCTGACACAATCAACTCGATATCTCATTCAAACTCTGATCTGAATCGGTTTGCTCAGTTCAAAAATGAATTATATTCAGATTATATTTATTGCTGCTGGGAGTCTAGTTCTTTTTAACAAATCAATTGGCTGTGAATAAGCCACTTTAAAAAAAAAAAAAGTCAGAGCTTTACCACTGTCAATCATCATTCACGGATACAATGGAAATGAATAGGTGGTGAAAACTAATCATACTTTACACGACACTGGATTTATGGTGTAATCCAAATATATCTTACTCCAAAATGAATATTGAATATAAAACATTAAGATTAAGATTAGAGGTCAGGCAGTCGCTTTTTTTTTTTTTTTTAATTACTGCATTATAACAATTCATTAAGCATACCGTCACGTTTTTATATAGCTGGATCCCCCTGGAGGAATGGCTCTGGTTTGCATATTTTACATCAATTAATACATTCATTTATATCATATTTTTAATATCTGCACCCTGTAGTTTATATAATAAAATATATTTTTGCTAGACCTTCTCCAGTCTGGATCTAATTCACTGTGCAGCTAGCAATCTTCTTTTTTGTTTTGATCTTTTTTTGGCTCTACGCACCTGAGGCCATTTGATTTTTAAACTTGGAGCACAACAATCTCTTCTAGTACCTATCATATTTTTAATAAAATAATTTGGAAAACTACAGTCTTTAAGTAACATCCCATCAAACATCACATTAAATACAATGCAAAGATGATGTGAGGCAGACTTTCATAATGCAGTCTGTTGAATAAGCAAAACCCTGCACTTGCCTTATAGCCCTTCTCCTTAGCAAAACTGATGATGACTCCTCTTCTCTCTCTTGTAGTATTGGTGGCATCAAATACCTGTGAAGTGCATTAGTCAGAGATTGATTTGCCTCAATGATTGGTTGACTCCGCAACAAGAATGTTGAGAATCACAGACTAAGCTGGTAAATTCTCAATCGTATTGGGTGTAAAGTGTAAAGTCAGACAGATTCATATAGTAGCTTGAAAAGTTGAATAGCTTGGACAGACAAGAAGAACCGCTAGCCATTACATTCTTGACTCACTGCAACTTGTCCCTGCTCCTTAGTGAAGTAATTGGCGATGTCCTTAAGAGCATTTGAGGCACAGGCTCTGAACACATAATACACTGATATTATTGAACAAATTACACATAATATATAGATATGCACACAAGACAGAGTTCATAATCAAATAACACTGCTTATTTAGAAGTTATATACTATCATCCTAAATGTATTGTACCTGCGGATTTTCATGGCTTCTTCATTGTCTGGACGAAAAAATTCATAGTTCTTGTATGTCTGCACAACTTCCCTTCGATACTGGCCCAAATTAAAGACTTTCAAAAAATAAAAGTTAGTTAGCAGATTTTTTTTTACATATATTTACTCACTACATTTATAGAAATATTTTTTAATTTAAAATTAAATGATGCTGATACATATTATATATAGCAAATAATTTCATGTGTTCATTTTATGAATACACATATTGTATATGTGTGCGTGCATACATATGCATTATATACATATGCATTATATATATATATATATATATATATATATATATGTGTGTGTGTGTGTGTGTGTGTATGTGTGTGTGTTTGTATAACATGTGAATTATGCTGATATCTCAGCAAATAATTTTATATGTAGTACATACACGTACATATATACCACAAACATAAAATCAAATACTTGCCATTAAGAGCTGATCATTAACGTCATAATACATACACTCACCTTGAGTTGGGACTCCAATCCAATTTAGGTATCGGGTTAACTTTTTGGAGATGTAGGTCTTTCCCCTGGCTGGCAGACCAACCATCACAATCATTGTGGGACAGTTTGTAAACTGGGGTCGTGAGGCTGTGGACCAGTAGAAAACATTGACATTAAAGTTTGAATAAGGTTTAATCACTTGGAGATGTTGGAGTAGGAGATTACATATGCATTCACAAGATAATGCCAATGCAACATTGATCTAATAGTCGCTTTCATTTGAGAGAAATTAGAAAAATGGAAGCAGTACAAGAAGAGGGCTGCCACATTAGCTTCAAAGTACATAAAGGAACCCACTGACCGTACATCTTCATCATCAGTTTGTTGTTCATTCTATACTGATTTGTACTGAGACAGCAGGGTTATTCAAATGACTTGGATGGCGAAGAGTATGAAAACTACTGAAAGAACATCCCACAGTAACCAAGGAATCACATGAGCCTTGAAGCCAACTCCAGTACTTAATATTCCTGTTCATTCTGTTGCCACAACTGAAGAAACAAAGCTCTCAAAACCACAACTTGGTGCAACTTCAAGAGGTAATCAAATGTAGACAAAAGTAGCAGGCAGGACTAAAGTTCACAACACCCGGGTTGATCATCCACAACAGATTAACACTCTTAATGCACCAAGAATTTTAGAGGAGAGGGAATAAGCAAATATAGTAACAGAAAAGACAGGTGAATTAAACTATCCCTCACTTACAGCCTCTCCTCTGGCCTAGGGAACTGCCCATTCCTGGCAGCCATAACTTGAGCAGTGGTATCTGTGTGAGCTCCTGCTCCGTGGACATGTCGTTAGGCCGTGCACGGCTGATTGTGTGTTTAGGAACTGAGAACACATGGCTGGGATCCCATCAACCCTGTTCCTGCTCAGGTCACCTGACTGAGGCGGGAAGAGTTGGGAGGAGAGACAGGGTTGGTGGAGAGACAGAATCCTGGCTGCCAATGGGTAATTGACTTAGTTAACCCTTTAGAGGCTTTGAGCCTGTCACTTTTTGCTTCATGACAAAAACTACACCATTTCTTAAATAAAAAGAAAACATTATGTTCCAATATGTTACTCCATGTATATATTTAGACAGTCACAAGTACCATAAGAATGTATGCAGTGTGTTTATTTGCAAATTTGTAAAATACAATGAAATTAGATTTTTTTTTATTGGCCTATATTTTGTAGATTTTTTTTTTATCCAGCAGTCTCACTTTATACTGGTTTTGATCTACAGTATTTATTATGTTCTGTTCACAGCAAATTCGATAACAATACCTATAAAGTTTAATAATCATTCTAATTCTATGAAAATATTTAAGTCCAAACCACAGCAATAACGACACAGAGGAATGATATCATAATGTATGCAGTGTGTTTATTTGCAAATTTGTAAAATACAATGAAATTTGATTTTTTTTATTGGCCTATATTTTGTAGATTTTTTTTTTATCCAACAGTCTCACTTTATACTGGTTTTGATCTACAGTATTTATTATGTTCTGTTCACAGCAAATTCGATAACAATACCTATAAAGTTTAATAATCATTCTAATTCTATGAAAATATTTAAGTCCAAACCACAGCAATAACGACACAGAGGAATGATATCATATTAATCACCTCCGGAACAATTTATCAAGCTAAACGTTAAAAACACTGACAGCCAATCAGAATCCACCACACTGTAAAGAGCTAAAGCATTTGAAGCGTCAGATGACATGACAGCAGAACGTTATCATGGTTGATGTGGATGCTAATATAGTTATTTTATACAAAAATAAATTAAGTGTAGAAATAATTTACACTCAGAAACTGTGAGTAAATTTCACAAATAATTACAAATAAACAGCAAGTAAAACATTGAATTAAACATGAAATTTTGAAGTAGAAAAACAGAAATAGTATTTTCTTGTAAACAAAACAAAGATTATTGAAGTATGTTTTACAACTTTTTTATTCTAAAGTTTGAATAATATTCTTTAAGGGCACATTTACACAATGTCAATGTACTAACAAAATTTATTTTTTTTTTCCTTTGGATTTTTGGAAAGTTTCGCAAACAGATGACAATGTTGTCAAAACAATCTCTGTGAAAATGGCTAAAAATGTTGTATTATGCATGCCAGGCCAGTAGGTGATATGGCTTTGTAAAGAAACATATGCACCTGTAGTCTTAACACGTAATACGCATGCACATGATGTCACAGTTTTTTGTAGTTTACATGGAAACAATAATGGTATTGTTTTCAAAAACGTGCATTTTGAAACCCATTTTCAAAAGTTTGAACACAGCTATGTAAATAAATGGCCAACACGCTTTAAAAAAATCATTTTTAGTTGAAACAGTGTTGTGTAAATACCCCCTACAACAGGAACCTACTACAACACCCCCTTTACAACAGATTAAAAGTGAAAGAACCAGTTCTTTCTTGCTGTTCATGACCCATTTAGCATTACACTGTTGTGGTGTAGTAGAGCAGGATGAGGCCAAGTTAAAAAGCAGGTTGATCAGGATGCGGTAAATCATGAGTCGCGGAAGCATACTTTTAATGTCTGGTACAAATATGACATGGGCTACAAAAAAAACAAACATAGGCTATAGGCTCATATGTATGCACGTTTAATCAATAAAAGATCTCGATTTTAAAGATCTCGATTTTAATCTCGATTAAAACACACACGATCTTATTCCTAAATGACGGTGATTCCGCTATGTCTATTAAACCTTTGAAAACACAATCGCATCGGAATACTAAACCTGCTTTCGCGCAGCCGCTGATGCAGAGAGAGCATCGCTCATCATGTAGCCTAAGCTTTATGTTTGAAACAGTCTACACAAACAGTCTACTTACACAGTAGGCTACATCTCTGTGTTGCAACTTGCAAACATTAAATAATACCGAAAGTATTTGGAGAAAAGACTCGATGTTGCGGCAGCCGCGATTAAAACGAGTAATTAACCTTTGGAACTAATAATACGCTTCAAATATAGATTGTATATGTTACATTATGCCAGTAGGTGGCAAACAGGGACTGTTAAATGTATTTGATGTCTGAATCATTCAAGAGATTCGTTCAAAGACTCTGGACGAAACAGGTCTTCTTTTTTTTTTCAAATGATTTTTTAGCTACATAATGAATTCGTTTAAATTAATAAATATTTTTAAATAGACTCATCTGTAACATTTTAGACATTTCTAAATAGACTCATTTATAACATTAAAACATTTTGTCAGAAACTCAAATTAAATATTTTGTTTGGTTGTCTAATGTTTGTTTTCAGAATCTTGGGAGAATCATAGCATAAAAACACATCGGCTAACATATCTGACTGTTTATAGCCTATTATGTTACATGTTACTATGTATGTTTATGAACTACGTATGTATTATGTAGTTCTGCAACCAACTCTTTATGTCTCCTCCTTTTTAGTTCAGAGTAAATTAAACAAATTCATAGTCTGTTATTTCTTCAGCACTTGGATGACCGTTCCGCGATCCATGTGTTAAATAACAAGATTAGCAAGACTGCAGACAGACTTACTACTGTCTGATTCTGCACGTGCCTATCAGGTGTCATTTGATATCATGGCCTTAATAATGTAACATCTCCTCTGCAGAAGGCCTGTGCTGTATAGTTGCTATAGAGGGGAATAGTGCACATGATTTAAAATTGGGCTGCTGTGATGTAGTGACAGGGACCTGCACAGACATTTTGAGGGGCAGGGGCTCAAGTGGAAAAAAGGGCACCTCTCATATTTATTTAAATTTTTTCCTAAACAAAACGTTAAATATATTAGGGGTGTGCGATATTGACCAAAAATATATATCTCGATATTTTCTGGGATTTTATCGATAACGATAATTAGACAACATTTTGCTGAGTGTGTTATTGTGCTGATATCTGATAAGGATAAGGTTGATAAGGACTATGGACAGCTGACTCCTAAAGTTTTTGATATTCTGCATGTTCTGTGTGGTGATCAGTTCACAGCAGTGATAAAAATTAATCTTTTCCAATCAGTTTAAATTGATTATAAAGCCTTTTTTTTTCTAAAAGTGTGCATCATCTTTTCAGTCAAATTCTTAAAGGGGTCATATGTCATATGACCCCTTTAACTTGAATCAGTCAGTTAGAATAATAAGTCATTTGGGCTGTTACCAAGCAAATTAAATCAGTATTGACAAAATTCATCTTTGCAATGCAGAGGAGACACGGAAGCTGCATTAAAAGTGGCATTTAGATGCATTTACACACTGTTTAATGCAGGACATGAATTTTTTAACCTGCAGTTACAAATGCATTAATACTGTTTTGATATTTTAAACATAAAATGTTGAATACTGATATTTGATTTTTTTTTAAATGAAAAGATATTTTGTGTGAAATTAAATTAAATTAAAAGAATTAAATTAAATTAATTTAATTTGAAATTAAAACCACCAGTAGGTGGCAGCAAGTCACTGTTAATAAGTGAGCCATTGCGATTGAACCGAATCATTTAAACGGTTGATTCATTCAGGAACGAAACACCGTCATGTTGCTCAGAGATGCAAATTGGAATTCTATTTGTTGGCGAAAAAGAGCAAAAATTGTGTCAACTGTGTCTAACGTAAGTGTATTAAATTCTTGTTTATTGAACTGCTGTATAAAGTCTTCACATGATACTGATTAACTATATTAAATTATATAAATACATGCATTTCTGCCCCCATATCTTGAATTTTGTGATCATTCTAATTTTAATAAACTGAATCGTGCAGTGAAAAAACCAGCACTGGTCTAACCTACTAGACTTCCTATTGCCTTAGCTAAACTTTAGCTAACTTACATGGTAGCTCCATAGACTGTGGGTAACTCTCATGAGTCATGGATGTTAGCAAGACAAATTAACTAACATATTTGTCTTTTGTCTTTTGGATAAATAGCTGTAAATTCGAGGCACAGGTAGCTTAGTCTTTTGCTCATCAGCACTCACCTCCACACCAAGACAAACACAACTGGAAAGGGAGGGAGGGGCTTTACTTCTGCGGCTCTCTGCCTGTTTGTGATGCGCATGCCGATCGTGCTACACCGCTGTGCTGCGTGGAGACGCGGAGGGAGAAAGGCATCGGAACAGTCTCATATCCCGAGCAGATATTTTGATTTTTTATTTGTTTGACAGGGAAGCTGTGCGTAAACAGAAACACACACGCACACGTATATACATATATTCATTTATTTAAAAAAAAAAATACTCCCCAGAAAAAAGGGCACTTTCTCTCGAGGAAGAAAAAGGGCAGGTGCTCAAGTCCCCTTTGATGTCTATAGCTGTATCCCAAAGTGAAGTGCGCGTACTCCGAAGTGTACGGACTTCGAAGGCCACGCCTCCGAAGTGCACGAAAGACCCTCCGAAGTGCATCATGAGACGCTCCGCCTTCGCAGGATTTCCTAATTCCGCCACCAGGGGTTCCCGATTACTCTGTTGCATAGCAACGGTGCTAGAGGAGAGCTGCCATCCTGACAGGATAGGTGGAGCCAGCATTGCTCATTTTTGTTTTTATGTTTTATATCACAGTGGAGGAGATCAGGGCCGTGCACAGGGGGGTGGCCCAGTGGCTAGAGCCTCTGCCCCTCTGCCCTCATCGGCTGAGGTGCCCCTCTCACCAATCCCCCCGTCACCACAGCTCAAAGTGTTCTGTCACCGCTCCGCTAAAAATCCGCTCCGTGGTGTATCCCGCCCGCTCG